TGATAGTGAGTAATGAGAAGAAAAAAAAATTCCGTCTGTGGACTTACATATATTTTTACCAGCATTATGTGTATCAGCAACGGAATGGAAAAACTTTTTTTCTTTCTTTTCTACACTGTAAAGCGCATTTGAGAAGATTGGGTCTTATCATATTCAGGAAAACAATTATTGCTCATTCAAGAACATTATTTCGTATAGAATTTTATTCGCTACAAGTTTATCTCATTGAAAAAAGTTTTCAATTTGATTTTACATATTATAAAGCCAAATTATTGGAAGACTTATATGAAATATTAATTTTAATCAACAGTTAATATGACTTTTTGCAATCATTTTTAGGAATCAAAGATACCATTCGATTCAGTTTTGTTGTCTCTATTGATTGATGTCTTTTCGTTTGGCTTTTCGTTTTATCAAACCTAAAAGATTCAATATCTCTGTAAAACCTATGGGCAATCAGATAGTAGAATAGTACACAACTCAAAATTTTTTGATGCGGAATGAATGTGCGATAAAAGCAAAATGTTAAGTTTCCAAATAATCTTTTTGCTCAGGAAATCATGCAATCTATAAAAAACTTCAAAAACTTTATAAAAATATTCTGGAAAGAAAAGGATTTGCTGTAGAATACAGTAGAGATTTTGGCCTATCGAATGATATAATCAAAGTCAAAAAATAGTTTGTTTTATTTGTGAAATATGCTTCACAAGACAAGTGTTACACAGGATCCAAATGATTGTTTTACATATTGTATGTGAGGGGGAAAAGAAAAAGACTCCTTTAATAGTAAACCAAAAAATAAGAAATAATAAAGCAGCATTTCTTCATAGTACTGTATAGTGCATTTGATGAAGTGTATGTACATTCAGACAGAGAGAGAACGAAAAGTATTTTCGCCAATTTTGTTTTTTTTATGAAGCAGTATGCTTCGATTTTTTTCAATAATTGGATTTTAATGTTTTTTATAGAAAAAGGAAAAATTTTCTTGTAGGGCACCATACACTCATTCAGTTATACTTCACTTGCTCCAGTCAGAAAGAATAGAGAAAGAAATTGTGTGTACTGGTGAATAATCAACCGAGATGAATGAATACGATGAAAATCGCGGTGACATAGTCCCAAACGGATCCAATCGTTCGACGGCGATAAGACTCCTGTAGAATTCTATTAGTCTCTTTGAATCTCGAATGAATTCTGTCTGTTCTGGTACGATCCGTGATTCGGAACCTACTGGAATTCAGTTGAAAAGTTTGATGGATTCTGGATTTTGAAATTTTGTGTACTTTATGTAGATTTTCGGTCAGAGGCCTTCACGGGGTGGTTAGTTTCACCTTGCCCTATCTTGCCCTTGTGAAAGAGCTTATAAACACTCGTATATTACAAAATGTAGTAATTTGATAAAAATTGTGTAGCGTTTTATAAAACCAATATTCGCATGTTATTCATATCGCTTGCAAAGAAGATTACAATTGACATAGGTATGTCATGAAAACATTACGCACCAGAAACGATTACACAGTAGTTTTTTTCATCACGGGGTAAACAGAGCAAATCCAAAAGAAAGTTCCCCTGCTTTGAACTGCTGGACAGAACATCAGAACACTCCAGTTTCTGTCATAGCCTATTCTTTCGGTGAATCACAGAATCTCATTAGTCATAATCTCACACCAAGGCTGGATAAAAGTCTACTAAGCATGCCAAGTTACAAATAGGCTCATTGATATTCCAGACACTTTTTCGTTATTTCTATAATAAGAGAACATCCAGATGAAGACGTACTGATCGATATCGAAGGAAAACTCCGAATATTTATGAAATCTGGAAGCAGCATTCTGAACTGGAATGTCTCTGAAGTTTTCTGATGGTTTTCAACTAAATTCTATTTTTTCGGGCAAGAAACGGTCAGTACTCGCCCAGAAAAGTCCAGAAATATTTCGGTCGAAATGTGCTCCTAAGTCCCATCAATTTCTGGAGTTTTATTTCCAGATGCAGCGGTTTTTCTGCATTTATCTAACCAATCGTAACAAAATCCGCTTTTTTTCGGACTCTGGAATCACAGATATTGGTGCGCATATCGTACAATGGAATCCTGGTTTTCAGCAGCTTTCACACTTGAAATTCAACGTTCTTGTCCGTGATTAGTAAGTGACATCCAGCTGGCATAACATGAAATGTTATCTAGATAGGTGTTGCACGTGCAAATGCTACGAACCTCATGTGTCATATTATTATTTTTTTTAGAGTCAAAGCTAGAGTCTATCCAAGATCAATGATTTCTGTTACATCTATGACATCTGTCGCGAACTGAACTGAACTGAACTGTTACAAAACATCAGCTCAGTTAAGAGAGCCGATCCAATCAGGGTTGATAAGATCCCTCTAAGTTTTCCAAAGCTATTCGAGGAAGGCATCCATAACTCTTCAACGCCTATCCTAGCGAGTACCCAGAAGTCATCAAGGACTATCGAGTCATGGTACTCCTAACTTTCTAAGGGCTGTTTAGGGATAGTTCTGGTGAATTTTTGAAGACTATCTAGCAATATTCCTCATAGCTATTCATAAGCCGTCCTTGATAGACCACATAACTATGCTAGGGATGTTATTGCAGCGTCATTTAGTAACTGATATTCCATCTGGTGCTGAATATCGTATGAGAGATTAGCGTAAAACTAGTGCGCTCGAATTTCGCTACAAGAAGTAAGAGTGGATCATTATTCCTAATCCGAACGCATTCAGTCACGTGAGCGGGTAGTTTCTTTCTACAATAAGTGTTCTATCGAAGAGATAACGTGTGAGAAATATGAGTCAGCTTTGGATATCCACTCTCTCAAATATGGATCAAGCATGTAGTCGTGCGGATCATGTTGTAGGGACTCGGCTGAGTCTGTATTTGCCAGGACAGCACTATATCTTGTATTAACGATAGTTCAGAAAAGCTGTGCTTTATTCTGATTGGAAGAAAGTTATTTTTATCAGGCAGTAGGACTCGAGGAACATGTTTGTCCTATATTGTAAGGAGATAATTTGTTGCTGTCCGGCTGGAGTCAGACGGAGTCCCTAGTAACTTCGAGTTTGTTCAAATAACACCAGGTTAACTCGCTACAGTAACGAGATTTAGCTGTATTGGAAGCTGATTGAATGAGCACTATTTTAATCGAGCAGTTGGAAGAAAGCATTTAGTAGGCCTGATCACATAAACAAGAACTCCGACTGAGCCAGGACTACACTCCATTTCTGCGTTCTAGATTAACTAATCACCATGCGCTAACCCATAACGTGATTACGATGTTTTGTATCCATCACCACGCGAATTCTTCTTCGATTGGATAGCCTTCCAAGAATTATGGGTACCCATATTGAGTAACTCCTGAGGACTTATAGTCACAGGCCCTCCTATTCGATAGCCCTTGGGAACTTATGGAAGTCTCTTGAAATAGCCCTACAGGAATTACTGATATCCGTCAAGGATAGGCCCTGAAAACGTATAAAGATGTTATCAGGTGCTGTTCGGTCAGTTCTTCTCAACTAAACTGAACACAGTGTGGGTGTGAGTGCAGTCAAGAGTACATTGCACATTCACACACACACACTCACACATTCCTTCTATCGAATTCCTTCATTGGAATCACAATGGGTTCCAGTAATAGAACTCAACCGGGTTGAACGATACGATCAGATGCCCATCTTCCGGCTTTAGACATCACGCATACAGATTTCAATCGGAACTATTGGATTGATTCTCTCAGAATGTGTCAACAGCTTGTCGAACGAACGGTGATCTAGCATGGCCAAAGTTGCAGTTCAGGTTTTTGAAATCAAATATGATTGGCTTGTAAAGCTTGCTAAACTGTATTAGTGTATCAGACTTGCTGTTTTTTATTTGCACTAGTTGGTAGAAGAACGATATTCAAAACATTAGGTATAGATTAATCCCACCATTGTGTGTATATGTGTGGGTACATCTCTTTTTTCAATTGAACGCCTACATTCAAACCCACACTCCAACGTATATCTTAATTGGGAAACCGATAAAGCACCAATTTGAGATGGGTAAATTCTGAATCAATTTATTTTAGCACAGGCCAAATCTGAGATAGAAAACTAAGATGGAACGAATCGAAAAGAACAAAATATGGCCCCAATCAGAATGAGATTGACCCTGTTGTTGTTATTTTCGCACTTGAGATAGAAAAACGCTTGCTGTACATCCTGACTGTTGAAAGAACAGAAAGACATAAGATTGATTTTTTACACAAGAAATGAACCAGAAATAATTACCATAATGACTCCACAGTGTAATAACTATCATAAGAGAAGTTATCCTGTTCCACAACGTTTAGCATTGTGGAAGCAGTTTCATCTATTCTCAAGAACTCCCTCATCACTCAACATAAGAGGCTTACTTTATATTAATCGAGTTTCATCAATGTTCGAGAATTCCATTTTGATATTACTTACTTATTTCAGAGATGAGGCATTGACTACATAACTGTACATGAGGGTGAGAGAAGAGAAGTAATTCCGAGAGATAATTTCAAAGTTTATAGCACAAGAGAATTAGACGAAACTTCTGGAAACCACGACTAATTCTATCCAGAATCAGTTTCGGAATTTCCGGAAATTGATGGAAGTCAATTAATGTCGATTGGGCTCCTTATGTTGAATGATGATCGAGTCGCTGGGATTGAGCGGAATTCGTTTTGGGTGCAGAATTGAATCTGCAATGTTCAACGTCGCCGAACAGAATATATTCTCTGTCAGAAATAATTTTCAGATAGTTTTCTTAGGGAAAACGATGTGTTTTAATGAAAGGCTGTATCATACATGACTTCTTCACTAGTTTTATTTCATTTTCTTCTTGCAAGTAGATTGAAATGTTTGTTCTGCCTCAATTACTCTTAATTCTCGAGTTCTTTGTATGTCTCTCGTCTGCCAGCAATTTTTCGCCTGATACTAATGATTATGATGCATATGGACTGAAAATAACTGCTAATAACTTGATGATTGTGGAAGCTCAAAATGATTTTAATTGGTTTAATATCCAATTTGCCCCTTACACTGATGATGTTACACAAAACGATGAGCACGATTGTTTTATTGATTACGATGATCCTTCGTGGTATGTTTATGCTGTTGCTCTTGGGAAAAATCAATCAATATATCGCTTTTTCTTCGTTGGTGAAATGATTGATTTGGACGAAGACGGGAAATTGCCAAATCGTACATTTGTCGGTTTTCTCAATTACACTGGCGATCTTACTACAATTGATTGTAGTAATTTCAATTTAATCATATCATACGTGGACGGAAACTTCATTCATCAGGAACATTTAGTGATGACAACTGATCCTCTTGGTTTGATTGCCTACGGTTTCTCCAATCTCTTTACATTTTCTTATACAGCATCTACGGGTAATCTGGCCGTTTATGAGAATAATTCACTCTCTCCTTCAACACCATTCCTACCATATGCCGTTGATTACGATGGTAGTCGCGGTATTATTGCTGGCTTTCTTAAGAATAATCAAAATTCACGTATGTAGAAGTCAATAACAACATAGGAATATATTATTTTCGCAACTTTTATGTTCTCTTTTTGTGTTTTAATAGGTATCAAATATAACGCAACTATTATTCTATTTAGTATTGATGCATCAACAGCCAATGCCACACAGATAAAATCATGGAAGTATTCGACGAATGGTACAACATGGCAGGCTGGACAAACAAATGCAGGCGCTGATAAAAATGATCCTAAATTCGACATGTCTGTCAGTATAAATCCAACAGCTACACAAGTTCTCGTCGGTATTCAATCGATGAATACGGTTTTTCTCTTCAGTTATACAGCGACGACACTGACATTGGTTACTTCAATAGACAAAGGCCGAGGAATTGGTTTCGGCAAAGGTGTTGCCTGGCTCAGTGACACTCTCAACAGTGTTGCCATTCTTGCCAACGTCTATTCGACAAGTTACGTCTGGAGTTCTTCGAAAATCTATGTCTACGACAGTCCATTGACGAGTACTTCACAGCCAATCTCAATCTTTCCCAACAATGAACAGCCGCTTTACAGTTACATGTCTTCTGTTTTTCTCAATATCATCACAACTCCAAGAGAATTAGTTCTTCTTGCTGCCCAAGGCGGTCTCTTCGTCATTCTCTCAGCTCCTAGCGGTTATTATTCCTCAACAATTGGACCAACTGTTGAAGCTGTGCCGGCATTCTCCTCACAACTACCGTGTATGCCAGGTACATATAAGAATGTAACAGGTATTCGTCGCTGTTTACTCTGTCCAACAGGAACAAAAAACGATGGAACCAACCTTACGATAACAACCTGTGTCAATTGTGCAATGAACACATTCTGTCCGCTTGGTTCTGTAAGTGATTCTATCTCGAACGATCAGCTCAGTAACGTCATCCAAGCAGTTGCCTATCCAAAATCCCCAGATATCACCGGACTTGATGATATTCTGTTTTTCACATTGTTTTCAATTGGTTCATCTGCACGCTGTGTTGCTCTTTCACCAATCTTTTGGACTTTGATCGTTGCTGCTATTATAATTCTCATTGTAAGTACAATGCTTGTGATTAAATACTGTGTTAAAAACTCAACAGCTGTAAATAGTTATACACTATTTGAGAAAATATTTAAACGAACAGATATTATTCGTGAAGGTGAAATGTGGGTCGGTGGCCTTGTTACGTTTTGTGTTATCGTGCTCTGTGTTTCTTGCTGTGTATTCAGTGCTAAATATTATAGTTCTTATCCGATTGAAACAGCTGGACCTTCAACATATACATGTGATACAAGTATACGTAATGCACAGTTTTCTTCATCTCTACAGTCTTTATCGGTACCAGCCGCAGAAAATATTCAAGGCATGATGGACTTGTTAAACGATCAAGAAGTCAATTTGGACGTCTCTTTTCTCAATACAGTTTACAATTGCACATCAGATGCAGTTACATTGACCTATCTCTTAGGTACAACGTGGTTTCCAGTATCGCCGAATCCATCCTGTAATTCGTCGAGCTATACAGTTTCCTATAATGCTAGCTTGCCGTTTAGATCAATTACTGTACAACTTACTTTACCAAACACAAATACAATCGGTGGACTTCGTATAGGTCTGCGTGCTAACGGTAAAAACAAATCTTCGACAGCAACGCTCCAAGATTTAGGTTTTTCACAAACATTCAATCACAGTGAACGTATGCTTGGACAAGACATCCGTATCACCCTTCCACTGACAAAAGTAATCAATAATACAAATCCACTTGTAAACGGTGATGATGAGGTACTGAGTGGTATTTGGATTGGTTCATTTTCGGTGAACTACTACGAATCATTCATGACAGACACTGATTATTTGAATGCACCACCTAAGACGTCAACAATTTTGACACTGACGATCAGTGAAACACCCTATTATATACTAAATGAGCAATCACCAATTGCTAGATTACCTGAAATAATTTTTCATGATTTTCTTTATATAACAATGATTATTGGAATGTTTGTGCTTATGTTTGTTATAGTTGAGGTAATGATTTTACCATGTGTAGACTTGTTAATTCGTAAGTGTAGACGAAACGCTGATGATAAATATCGAACAGATAGTGACCATCGAACTGCCTCTGATCACAATAATGCAGATAATTCGATTTATGTCTCAAATAGACAGCAATTTAGTAAACACAAGCACAATTCTGCTATGGTTAATAATTTTACCTCTCCTCAAAGACAGAAGTACACTTCAAATCAATATGCTAACCGTACTGAAGATGATAGTCAGCAGTTGCCGACGATATGGAATCACCAAGCGTATCTTTGACAGTTTTCGAGTGAGGACTGATGACAATAGAATAATCAAAGAACTTGTCACAAAATAACAAGACCGTAGTGTGTTATCAATAGAGATGCTACATTATCATTACTTCTTATTACTGTTGCTCGTTAATTCATAAAAAACTATTACTACTTTTATCACTTAATTTTTTTTAATCATCAATGCTTTCTTTTTATTATTTTAATGCCCATGGGAGTTTTATTGTTCTTCATTAACGAAATATAAAATAGTTTTCTATTATTTTATTAGTCAATACTTTTGTTATTTTGAAATTTTTATCACTTAATATGTTGTAACAAAAAGTAATCAAGAATTTATAAGGTAACTATTGTCGATTTTTTTTTAAATGCCAGCCACCATTTTTTCAATAACTCTTCACCATTGATAGCTATCGAGTTCAGGTTTTAGTCATTCGATAGAGCGGCGCGGGGGGGGGGGGGGGGGGCATCTATCTATATGAGACTGATTAGAACCAAAGAAGCTTTTTATGGTACATATTTAATTGATAACAGGTTTCGTTAGCAATTTTCATTAGTTTTCATAGAGACTTATGCTTGAATTACATCAAAATGTAGCTCGGAGAGTCCTGAATTAGCGTTAAGACCTCAGGATTTTAACGAGTTATCTTATTCGAGACAATGATAGACAGTGCTGAAAATTTTATTACAGATACAGTACCCTCCGAGCTATATTTTGGTGTAATTCAAGCATAAGTCTCTATGAAAACTAATGAAAATTCGTAACGAAAACTGTTATCAATGAATTATGTACCATAAAAAACTTCTTTGGTTCTAATCAGCCTCATATAGCTAGACGCTTCCCTCCCCCGCGCCGCTCTATCGAATGGTTAAAACCTGAACTCGATAGCTATCAGTGGTGAAGAGTTATTCAAAAAATGGTGGCTGGCATTTTAAAAAAAATTGACAATAGTAATAAATTATTACTATGATAAACCAATAATAAAACAATAATTACTATATGGCTTAGATACTAAGAAAAGGTGAGTTATTGGTACATTAATATCGTTTTGTACATTCTCTCAGAAATGCTGAATACATAGAAAAAACAGTCTAACAGAAGACAGTATTTTATTGCAGCTCTTCATCTTTGTTTTAATCTCGATTACAACGTCAATAAGCACCTTCCTTATTATCTTTTAATCTATGTGATAAATGGTATTACGACATAGTGATGTGATTAAAACATGAAGTCAGATTTATTGAGGGTATGGGTACGGGTGTGGGTATATTGCTTGTTCCTATTGAACAGCCATACTCACATCTCATAATGGAACGACTAGCTATTTCTCAAATCAATACATTTATGAAAACATAGAAAGGACCGAAAAAACAAAAAGCCACAAAAGAATTCAAAACATGAAAAATATAATCTTAATACCTGTAGATAAAAAAGGAACAGTAATAGCCATGAACAGAGAAGAATATATAAGTCAGATCGGAGAAAAGGGTGTGAGTGTGGGGTGTGGTGTGGATGTAGGTGTGGATGTGGGTGTGGGTGTGCGTGTGGGTGTAGGGTGTGAGTGCGGGTGTAGGGTGTGAGTGCGGGTGTAGGGTGTGAACAGAAAGAACCACACCCACATTCACACCTACATCTACACCTACTTGAGCCCATCGGGTCCTACGCGGACCCGGCTAGGATCCGGGTTTGAAGATTTTGTTTCAAGCGAGTCCGGGTCCGGGTACAGCAAATTTTAATCAGTCGGATCCAGGTCCGGGTTCAAAAATTCGTGAACCCGATGGACTCTAACACTCATATCCATCCACATCGCACAACCCACACCCAACCCCGTAACTAGCAATTAGACAAAATAGATATATATTTGTAAAATGAATTTCTATTTCATATATAAATAAAAAATAAAATATATGAAAATTACATTGCTAAAAATTTTCAATATGAATATTTATATCAAGTCCTATGAGATGTATTCATATACATAGTTATCCGTATCTTTTTGAATGATCAAATATTCGACATATTTCGATTGATGTTCATCCATCGCATTAATTATTTCTTGAGCAACTAACCTCGTCAAATTTGACATTGATTGAAGCAGAAGTATTCATTAGATAAAACAAAGATTGTATTAAATTCAGTTCCAAGAATTTGAGTTAGTTAGAAGAGAAAATTGACTAAAAGAAATTTTGTATTTAAGGCATAATCACGAATACTCTCTTTCAGAAAATCTAGCACAAGAAATTTATAATTGAATATTGGTAGTTTTAGTTTAGTTCATAGAATTAAAACTGTTTGGTCGGTTCACATTCATTTAAATTGAATTGAAATTAGTCAAATTGATTAGTAAAATTAACTACTCATAAAGCTCATTAATGATCAATGAAGAGATATTTATAGTTAATTATACATTTTGTTAAACAGATATTCATAAATATGATATTTTCAGGACGAAATTTCTTTCAATCAATTTTTTATTCTAATGAACTCCAATTAAAAGTTCAAATTTGATTTTATGCAATTCTTTCGCAAAATGAAATATATTTAGAAATTCATTCCAAACTTTCGAATATAAGACACAGAACGTACTCATATTAGTACTCGAGCATGAAGCACTCTAAAGGATGAGACTAGATAAGGCCATGTTTTCTTTAACATCTCTCAATCAATTTTTCAAGTCACACTAGTACCTCTATACAAGAATGAGCAAGATTTTGTTGACTCCGTGAAAGAGTAGGAATGGAGCTAAAAAAACGGTTCAAGAGAGATTGCGAAATAAATTATTACTATATTTTCGAGTGATATCGCTGCATTAATTTTAATATAAAAAAAAATAAAATAAAATATTTTGAGAGCAGTTAAATGGTGTTATTCGTCATCTTCCTTTTAGATAAAATGTATTATATTAAAGTGAGACCAGGTACATAATCTGCTCTTCAGTCTTATGTAAAAGTGCACTTATATATACTCAATATTCATGATGTAACGATCTTGAACACATTTTTCGAAGTAGTGGTACTCGTACTCGAGAAAGTTCAGAATTGTTGTCCAGCTTTGGTTAGATTTCAATCTTTTGCCAATAGATTCTGCTTTCAATTCTATACAAATCTGAATAAAATATTTTAATGTAAAAACTAACCGTGAAACATTATGAACTCAGGACTATAAGATATGAAAATGACGAGTTCTACAACCTTGGCGTAGTTGTTCAATGTTTCTATATATTCTCTTTCTTATTACGTTCAAAAAAGATCGTTTGAACTGAATATTAATACACTACAGATAAAGATATTTCATGCAGAACTATGTCAAATCGTCGAAATTTGTGCTTTCTTCAAACATTTCCATACGACACATAAAATGTGTACCAGGCAAATGTGTAGACTGATAGACAAATCATTTGTTTTCAAAATAATAGCGATATTTGATTCGAAAAAGTCATTTTATGGCCTAAATACAGAAGTTTCATGAGACGATGTCAAAGTTCTGAAAAAAAAATTGAAATTACTGTCAAAGAAAAGCTTATCCGCAAACGAGTCAAGGCGTTGAAGAAATTTTGAATTGCAATCAAAGAAAAAGACCTTCAACGGGGTTCATTAGATTTGCTTTTATCTCATACGTTTCATATCTAACATGAACAGTATAAGAAAAATAAACTTAGAAAATACATCATTTTTGTGTCTTACTGTCTTTAATTCACGATACTTTACACTTAGTTTTTTTATTCTGAAATGTTTTTTCTTTATACAGATTTGTAGAGGGTTGAATGAAGAACTTTTTGACAAAACAAAACTAGTGTTTTCTTTGAAATACTATCGTCTTCCGAGTTATCAGCTAAAGCAATGCGTCTATTCTTCAGCTCTTATCTTTGCAATACATAAAATTACTAAGTGAACGATTTAAATTCATAGACTTTATGAAATTAAGTTTTGAAATCTAACAAATATTGATTAGCATAAATTATTATCGTTGTTGTTCGAAAACTATGATTTTCATAGATAAAATATCAACAGAAGTTTTTTTTAGATGCTTGAGATAAATCAATGAATTGAAATAAAGAACATGCAAAAGTACTAGCTCATGTTATTTCAATGCGTGTCAAACTCAAATATCTTCAAGTTGAAAAATTCCAATGGTTCTTACATGTTATTGGATATGTAAAAATCTATTCTATTTGATTTTTTCTCCTCAAACTATATCTATATTGAGGTTTCTTTGTATTTAAGCTTGTAGAATTCTCAACCGATAGAATTTTGTTAAAATTCTAATTTTTTAGTGTCATCACATTAATTCTGTCAAATATCTTTGTTTTGAGAAAGAAATTACTGAAAATGCACAAGAGTTACTAATTTCGCGAATCACATTTTCTTCTCAATCAAATCAAAATTCTACTAAGAATTTTATATAAAATAGTATTTTGATGAAAGAGTGAAGTCAGTAAAGAAAAATAAATTCTATCATATACTCTTTCTGTTTTCGAAAAATAAAATTCTACTAAGAATTTCAAAACATAAGGCGAAATTTAATAGAATCCTAATGATGCTATTGGAAGACGAACTCTTCTAAAAACACTTTCTTCTTGATCAAAACGAAATATTTCTTCTAATTTTAAAAAAGTAATAACCTTTGACAGAATATTATCTTCACTAGTATAGTATATCATTCATATTGCCTCTCTGGAAAAAAGATATACAACATATTATCATCTTAATAAGAAGAATTCAATCGAAATTCTGCTAATATTTTTCAATTATAAACAAAATCCTGGAGTATGGAAAAAATCATGTCATATGTAGTACTTTGAGATTCTGAGTTTTGCTTAACAAACCGTCTGCACTTATCGTTTTTCTATTATTTAGAATTTATCATTTAATTTTTGATCCAGTTTTATTTTGTTTTATATACTTTATCTAGCTGTTTTCGTTTTTCTGTTAGGCATTTAATCAATTAAAAAAGAATTTATTAATTACTGTTCGATACGTTGAATTTGACATTCCTAATTGTTATCATGACTCTAATGAATCAGTTTATATTAGCAAACATCTTGTACTTTTTCCTAAGGTCAATATGCCTCAATTTACATACATTACGTCTTTGACGACCAGATGAGTTTTTTTCTTAGACAACTAGTAAGTTTATTTTAAATAGAGGGTGTGGAGTGTGGATGGGGTGGGTATGAGTAGCATTATACCAGAAGGCACGTGCCCACACCAATATACACATGCCACCCCATACTCACACTCTTCGAATTTATAGACTTATAAACTATAATTAATATAAACTGTTTCTTTTGCTTCTTTGCTGATTTAACATGGAAGTTGTTTTTTTCGAATTTTTCATGTATATTCGAACTTGACTTAGGTATTTACTCGTTTCTATTACTGCGTTTCACAAAAGCAAACATATATTTCTAGACTTCATCCATTCAGTGCGAAGAAAATTGGCCTCTGACAGTGAAGCATGTTTTATTAACTGCATATGCATGGTAACCATCTCGACGTACAATATATCAAATAGAAAAAGTTTGTATGATGTAAAAATTTTTCTACTAGACTCACAAAAAAGATTTGAGGTGAGTTTCATTTCTAGATCTGATTCTTGTTGTCCGAAAATCCAATCTCATGGCCATGAGTGCATGCGTATTCCAAGTTGCCGCAGTTTCCTAAACAAAACATACGAGTCTCTTAACGTTTCCGACGGATTTTCCCAATGTCGTTGCATTTCTTTCACAGCATTGTGATGCTCAAATAATAGTTCGTCTACTAAAGAATAAATAGTTGAATCATTTAAGAGTTGATTTATGAGAGGAAACTCAATTGCCGGAGTATCAATATCTAGTTTGATAACAACATGGTCATGTGGTTTAGCAATTGTTTTCAGCAGTACCCAAGGATTGAATTTTCCACTTGTTGTACAACCAACATTAATCAGAGTATAAGCTGGGACAACATCATCAGGCAGTTGTTCCCAAGCTCTTTTGGGATCTAATGGAGCATGCTCATAAGCGATAATACGATCGAATTTAACACCAAAACGTTTGTAATTTTCATAGAACCAGCGTCCTGAAGAGGCACTAGTATCATTAACCCTGTCTTGAAAATAAGAACTTCCCAAATCAATCAAAATATTTTGTCCATTTCTCGTATCTAGGTCGAATTTCATGTCTAACAAATTCAATTTCGATCTTTGGTACATCCAAGGAAGTAAATTCATATTGCGTTGATTTGACTGAATATTGATTTGTAAAATGTCTTTATGGTTTTGTGGTAATAAATGAATATAGAATGGAGCTGCAACTGATAATAAGATAAATCGTTTTGACTCAATTTCTGCTCCTTCATAAAGAAACGTAGGTAATGAACTAGTGCGATTACACATCGTTAAAGGATCTCGTAGTAAACCAATGAGTGGTTCAATTACTTGCGATACTTCTGCTTGTTGGAACGATATTTTTGTTAGTGGATTGACACATTCTTGTCGATAAAACATTTTCGATAGAAGCTCATCAGCCTGTTGTTTATCGCTTCGGGTACGATTTCTTCCAAGCTTTTGTAATTCCATCAATCGTTCAACGATTAATGCTGTTTTATTTAGATTTTTTTCATCTGTTAGTCTTTCACAAACATGATTTTGAAATTCTTCAATATTCGTAAACCAAAAGTTTTCCCATGAACTTGGTGTATAATTTAAAAAGTACCATTGACAATTTTTATCGAAGGTTTTCGAATTTCCTGAACTAACCGTTCTAGAATTACTTCCAATGCTCATTAAAGAAAGATTTTTAAATGGTG